GGGGTAGAGGTATGTCCAATGGGCAGGGGCTAAAGGTCCCACCAGACAGTTTCTATCCAGAGAATGGTCACCCAGAGCAAAGTGTGATTCCGCTCAAACTGTCAGGAGTGCAGAGGTTTTACTGTGATTCTCCAGTCTCTGCCTGTGTGTGTACATGAGTACTCATGGAGGCCCAGGGTTGGCATCAGGTGTCTTTCTCAGTTGCTCTCCACCCTGTTCACTGAGGCAAGGTCTAAGATGTGACTCCTCTGGCTATACTCAAGTTGCCACCTTCAGAATGCTGCAATTAATGGCAGGCTTCCATACCCATCTGACTTTGACATAGATCTCAAGGATTCTAACTGTGGTCTTCATGTTTGCATAGCAAGCCCTTCCTCCACTGAGCAAGCTCCCCAGCTACTTTTGGCCAATTGAGTTCTATTGTCTATTTTGTATTCATATAAAAAACTTAAAAACTGAGAGAGACAAAATACTAGGAAGTGAATACATTGTGTTGTTGATTTATTAATGGGGTTCTAACCTTTGTAAATGTATTCTAAATTGTTGGACCCTTACTATACTAGCAAACTTTAATTTTGGGATAGTGTGAAATGATTGTTAATGTTTTAATCTTTTATTTCACTTGTGAGTGACATTGGTCATCTTATGTTCTCCATATATAAATCTTTTCGGCGAGCACTTACTGCTTTTTATTGTTTCTAAAATCTAATAGCAGCTTAAAGCTCTAGCATTTGATTTAGCTGTTAGATCTATTCTGACTTAAACTGGACACTAATTGTTATTATTTATTGCTCATGTTGCTCTAAGAACTAAATGGCAGAGTCTGAGTAGATTATTATTTGGAACTTCCTTGTACCACACAGCACCTGATTGAGTAAAGAGATCTATTGTCAATATTTAGTGTCAAATCTTTATTCAGGAAATAGAGACACGTGGGCTGTTAGGTTTGAAATTCAATTGTAATTCATTGTGACATGCGGCATTTAATAAAAAACAAAATTGTTTTGCCATGATTATTACAGAAAACTCGGGTATTGCATAAAAATGGAAGCATTTTACTCTCCAACACTAATAATAATTATCATTACCAATGCCAGGGATTTTTCCATGTTGACTTTTTCTGTATAGATAGAAAGTTGAATGGGCAAGTAAGTGGACACTTGCAAAATCTCATAAAATAGTATTGCACTCTACAGTTTAGTCATAAATAACAATAGACTGGGGATGCACTTGCCTGTTACACCCTAGGCTCTGGGCTCAATGCTTAGCACCAAAACCAGGAAAGTAATAGAGTAACAGCAAATAATCCTGAGTTTACTGTGAAGTAAACTGTAAAGTTACTGACTTCCTCTATTGTAAAAAAAAATCGAGATTCAGGGCTGGAGAGATGGCTAATGGTTAAGAGCACTGGCTGCTCTTCCAGAGGTCCTGAGTTCAATTCCCAGCAACCATGGTGGCTCACAACCATCTGTAATGAGATCTGGCGTCCTCTTCTGGTGTGTGAGTATATATGCAGACAGAATGCTGTATACATAAATAAATAAATCTTTTTTAAAAATCGAGATTCAGAGTATAGGGGTGTTTTGTTTTGTTTTGTTTTGTTTTTAAATATAACCAAGTCAGAGAGTTCATGCTTTGCCCCATTTTGATTTTGAGAATACCATAAGATCTTTAAAATTGAGTGGTTCAGACTTTGGTCTTTCAATGCTGGCTGTTTGTGTAAGCCAAAGGGTTCATCAGAGGGGCTGTGTAGCTTTGCCATCTCTGCTCTGTTTGGTCTTTTGAACTGTTATGTAGAATTTTGTGTGGAGGCAAGAAATCCCACTGTACCTTACCCCAAAAAAGGAAGGAAAAGGAAGTTTGAAAAGCATTGGGCATAACATAAATTAGAAGTAGGCTGCAGGAAACACAACCTGGGGACCTTGCTTTTGCATTGCCTTTCTTGCTTTCAGAAAGTGCAAGTGAGTATTTCTGAGTTTGGTGGCCACCCACTAGAACTACAGTGAGTATGCGGACAGACCCTGAGAACACTGGATTGTACTGGCACCACCCCTGTAATAAACAACTTGGAAAGAACAGGAAAGAACATCCAAGGTCAAGCATGCAAATGGAGAAACTGCCCTGGCTGCTTCGGTGACTGCTTCATACAGCAGTGGAGACACCAGTAGACATCAGGCAAACGATGACTCACTGGCGTGGTAGCAGCTGTCTGCAAGCAAAGGCTGGTTATGGTGCTGCAGGACTATCATCTGACACATCTTGAAAGAACAATTCATCTGAGAAATCTGTAGGCTGAAAACCAAAAAGAAGACTGTTAAGGATATGACGAAGCCCTGGCTTAGAGCGAGTGCCTTCTCCAGGGCCTGTGGCTGCTTAAGTGTGAGGTACTTTGTTTTCTTTCTTTTTAATTTTTTTTGCCTCACTTGGGAAATTAGCCATCTTTTCAGTTAGTAGTGTTATTTTAGGATCACTGGCTTCAGGGAGCAATAGGAGTGACTGTGGACCATTATTGTAGGTAGGTTTTTTCAGAAACCTAACTGGTAAGCAAAGGTTCTCGTATTATGAGCAGTGAGCCTGCATCTTCCCAGCTACCAAATGTGCACCAAATGCCTTGGGCTTCATAGCTTGTGATGTGCAGCTTGTTGCCTATTGATGAGCTGGAAATTCTGTGCTAGCACTAGTTGACTGTAATCTAACCTGAAGTGGGGGCTTCTTTATCGTCCCCACCCTGGTGTTTTTGTCAGATTATTTCCGCTTTGACTTGAAGTCTCTTTTAAAGATCTGACACAAAAACTCCTTCAGACACATCTCCATCCTTCATGCATAGCTTCTGTTTCTGCTGCTGCTGCCCTGAGCCTTGACCTGGATTCCTAAAAACCCTTGTTCCTCTCTGTCAGCTGGCTACATTTTCAAGAAGGGTCAGAGCAGGGTGTGGTTACCAAAGGAACTGGAACTCTACAAGAGGGTGTCTTAGTTAGGGTTTTATTGCTATGAAGAGAACCATGGTCACAGCAACCCTCCCTCCCCAGCTCCCTACCAGGAAATATTTCTCTGTGTAGTCCTGACTGTTCTGGAACTCAGTTTGTAGACCAGGCTGGTCTCAAACTCAGAGATTCACCTGCCTTTGCCTCCTGAATGCTGGAATTAAAGGCGTGTACCACCACACCTGGCAGCAAATCTTATAAAGGAAAGCATTTAATTCAGCCTGACTTAGAGTTCATATGTTTGTTTAGTCCATCATCATGGTGGGAAGCACGGTGGCATGCTGGCAAACGTGGTGGAAAGGTAGCTGAGAATTCTACTTCTGGATCTCGAAACCCTCCTGGATGTGACACGACACACTTCCCCCAATAAGGCCACACCTCCAAAATTCCACTTCCTATGACTCTTTAGGGCCATTTTCATTCAGACCATCTCAGAGGGAAAAAGGAAAGATGATTTTAAATGTATGGTTAAAAAAAATACCTTAAGAATACCCATACTTTGCTGGGTGTGGTAGTGTGTGTCTATAATCCCTAAGCTATCACTATTTTTTTTAAACCAAATATTTACTATTCCTCTGTGGTTTGCTCTCTTTCCAGGCTATTACCTGATTACCTGAAGGTGGGATCTCACTTACATGAAAGGATCCAAGACTCAGGCTTAGTATTTTGGATCTCAGTCACTAGTGGGGAGGCAGTAGGGTATGATAACCTCAACTTACAGCTGGGGCACTCTGAGGATCTTGGGGTGCTGTGTGGGGTAAACAGGCCATGTTCTAGCAGAAACCATGGATCTTCTGGATCATGGTGACACACGTCTTTAATCCCAGCACTCAGGAAGCAGAGCCAGGCGGATCTTTGTGAGTTTGAGGCCATTCTGGTCTACAAAGTGAGTTTCAAGACAGCCAGAGAAACCCTGTCTCAGAAAACCAAAAACCAACCAACCAAAATAAACAAAAAAATGGATCCAGGGAGAAACATAATCACAGCTGACTTTTATCTATAGGAATAACTTTCTCTTTAGTTTTTCTGTAGAAAAACTGTTTTTAAGACAAGAAGGTAGCTATGGAATTGTTTTTAAAGAGAGCTTGACTGAAATACGGGTGTTGCTGTGATAATGCCTCCCTGTAAGAGTGTGCAGCCTTCTTAGCTCTGGCTCCAGATCCATTCTTATTCCTAACGTGGAGGGGGAAAAAGCATCTGAAATTACACCAGAGACTGAGGCTTCTTGGGGATAATCCAAAAAATCTTCTATATCCCATATTTTAAGTGTTCTTCTGACAGAATACTATGAAGTCATTAAAAAGAATAAAGAAACTTCTTGTGAAATGAAGAAAGCAACATGTTAAAGTAAGCACATATTACATGTGCATTCTCATAAGATAAAAAGGTGGGAAGCACAGCGAATATATTTGCTTATTTGTACAAAGTAATATATGTTAATAATTTCACTGGTTCTCTCCAGAATAGACCACTAGTTGGCTAGAGCCTGCTGAAAGATTTGTCTGTGTGTGTGTGTGGTGTGTGTATGTGTATCTATATGTGTAGTGCATATGCATAGTTGAGGTAATGTACATGCTATAGCACATGTGTGGGGGTCAGAGGATAACTTGGCGGAGTCTATTTTCTCATCCCAAGATGTGAGTTCTGGAAATAGAACTTAGGTCTTAAGGCTTGGTGGCAAGCAGCTTTGCTTGTCCAGCCATCTTGCTGACCCTGAGAGAGATTTTCTAAAGACCTTTTTATTGTGTGTTAGAATTCCTAATCTGGAGTCACTACTGAGTGTTTCTTGTGTTGCATCCTGCTAATGCTATGCTATTTATGTATGAAGGTTTTGTGTTAGTTTTCACAACAGATGTGTTTCTAGTAGTAATTTGTTTTGTGGCTGTCACTGACATATTTTGGTATGGAAGAATTGAGAGTATTTCTTTTCCTCTCCCTTTCACCTATGACAGGCAGGCATAGTTGCAGTATTCTTTAAATTTTTTGCATTTATAGTAGTTGCATTTTTATGCATAGGAAGAAGAAGGAAATGCTTCTAAAACACAAAAAACTTCCTGGCTTCAAGAATGTGTTTTATCCTTATCTCCAACCAGTGATCTTATGGTGATAGCCCGGGAGCAAAAGGCTGCATTTCTAGTGCGTAAGTACCTTGTTCTCTGCTGCCTCCATTTTAGTGCAGAGGTTAGACCAGAACATGCACTTAGAAAGGTGTGATTTCTATTCTACATTTAATATATAAATAAAATATTTCCCTTTTGGGGTATGTGTATGTGTGCGCACATGTATGTGCAGGCCCTTCTTCACATGTGTAGAGACTGAAGGCTGATGTCAGGTGTCCTCCTCTATTGCTCTTCACTCTAGTTTCTGAGTCAGGGTCTCTCACTGAACCTGGAGCTCGTCCTGTCTGAACTGGCTGAACCCTGGCATCATCTCTGGCACTGAGCACACAGGCCTGTCCTGCTCCTGCTCTCCCCTCCCCT